TCGCTCTCGCTCTCGCTCTCGCTCTCGCTCTCGCTCTCGCTCTCGCTCTCGCTCTCGCTCTCGCTCTCGCTCTCGCTCTCGCTCTCTCTCTCTCTCTCTCTCTCTCTCTCTCTCTGTCTCTCTTTCTCTCTCAGACAGATGTGCGCGCACGCACGTTATTCTACTAGCTCGAGCGACAGCCACCCGCAACAAGGTGCGCACTTGCAGGAGGCGCGACTGGTGGATGCCCCGATGCTTTACTTCCACTGCAGCGTGGCTGCGAAGCCCTGTTTTCGGTCATGAGGGGTATGTTTGCTTGCATTTGGCAGCAATCTAACGACTGGCCCTTTTGCTGTATCTGCGGCTGTCCGACCAGGATTTCTGTGACCTATCTCTGCCAGAACGCTTGATTGACTAGACCGGCGTCGAGTCGCGGGTGAGAGGTTGCGATCGGGGTTGTAGCTGTGCAGCTTGAAGGACCAGTCTTCCTGGAGCCGTGCCTTCCTTGAGCCCCACACCCAAAGCCCTAAGCCCCATCAGATCTAAGCACCAAGAACCTCGCCTGGCATGTAATGGAGTGTCAGCGACGAAACCCCGTCAGACGCCTCAGGCAAGCACAAGCTGGCAGACTTCCACCTTCGCGAGGTGCAAGCGCAAGCACAGCAGGAAGCCGAAGCGGCTGTTTGAGTTTATAGGGACGCGAGGATTTAAGGTTCAGGGCTTAGGGAGTTTTCTGTATGAGAGTCCGGTTGAGGGTTTAAAGGCCGAGCCTGGAGGATTGAAGGTTCAGGGTCAAGGACCTCTGAGCGTGGGGTTGGGGAGACATGCAAACAAGCAATGCCCGGAAGCGGAGACACGAACAGCTAGAAACGGAACAGACCGCTGATCAGCCGCAGCATTCGATGTCCGCAGCGGTGACTGCGGCAGCTTCCAAGAAGCCCCTGCAGTCACTTTCAGTCTCACCCTGCATCGGAGGAAGAAAAATGAGGGGGGGGGGGGTGGGTTTCGAGTTTGGAGTGGCCGCCATCCGGAACCTTCCTTCGGCCCGCGAACTCTGCACGCTGATGCTGCAAGCCATGCCGGTAGGTTCTTCTGATCTTGAAGCCAGGCCCTGCAGTTTTGGCTCGTCTGGAGCTTTCCTTCACATGTCTGGCATTCAGGCATTCATCGACATACTGCTCGGAGGTCAGTGCTTCCAAAGCTACGTGGTATGATCAGTGCTAGCGGCATCAGTCAGGCTTTTGTCGAGACAGGCTTTTGAGATCCATTCCCTGCAGCCATGGCGCTCTTGCCGGAGGTCGGGCCGAGTCGGGCTTGGGTTCTTTGGCGAGAGCAACTCAGACCCCGGCAGCAGAAGCCATGCCTCTGCCGGTTTGGGCTGAAGCTGAGACCGGAGGTTGTGCTGCTGAGTACGGGAGTTCATACCAAACCTAGCGCAAAAACGGAGACGTTTTGCAACATGTTCACGTCTCACGCTGTGTCTCGAGGCCTTCGTTCTCGGCACCACATCGCCAGCACTGCCGGTGAGCAGGCGAGTCGAGGGAAGCCATGTGTGTCGTACGGTCGCATGCTTCCAGAAGCACCCACACAAAGTGTGGGCCTCTTCGTGACGGTTTTAAGTGGGGGGTTCGACGTGTCCACACGGCAATGTCTGCATGCACATCCGTACTAATACTTGTCCAATCCTGCAAACCGAGGCTGGTGACTTGATACCTCATAGCTTGGATGTGTGTGTTCGAGTGCTACTGCCCGAAACCTTACTGAACCAACACCCCATTCAATTTGAAGATGCGGGTACCCAAACTCGAATTCCCAAATCAAATACCCCTAAATCCTGAACCCTACGCAAACTGTATAGTACTGCAAGCCCCCTAAACTCACAGACCCCTTAAGCCCCCAAGCAAGACCTCTCCTGGGATAGGCTCGCCTCCAAGACCGGGCGGACGTCGCGCGAGGTTCCGCAACAAGGCTGTTCAGGGTTTAAGGTAGAAGCAAGCGGTAGTAGAAGACGGGTCGAAGCAAATTCATCATAGTATCGCCTTATGGTCCACTTAGTATAATACGGTGCATCCGCTTTTTCGGGAAAACTGGCCAGGACGGGGGGTCCACCTCAGAATCAGAGTTTGCGGCCTCTCCTCTCTGGTGTCGGGGAGCGGCCATCGCCCCCAAGCTGCTTGTCAAAGAAACAGAACGAAGTGACAGGTTCGTCTTCTCGTGGATTCCGCTGCCTCAACAGAAAGCAGTGCAGGTAAGCCGTCGACGCTTGCGGCAGCTTCGACAGTGTTGGCAACGGTCGCGATGGCGAAAAGGTGGCTCGTCAATGCTGCAGAAGTTTTTCAAGTCGTCTCGAAGCTTAGTTACCTGCAGCTATCATCTGCGGAACCTCCGAAATAATCGTCACTTGTCATCCAAGACTTCGGATGCTCAACTCGCATCATCAGCGCGTGCACAGTGGCATCCCGAGCTCACCCAGGCGTCAGGTGCGGATGCGATCAGCCGCTGTGGCCGTGAGGGTCGGGGACCCGAAGTTCCGAATTCAGTTCCCGATTTCCCCGCCGATAGCTGCTGCAGGCAGGGAAGGAGGCCGATACCCTGCAGGCCGGCAGGGCGTGTACAAGAGCAGAAGCTTTCAAACCGGATCTCTGTGTGTGCATGCAGGCCTGCGCTCGTGCGCCTCCTTGGCCCAAAGCAGTAGGACTTTTTCGGCCTCGGGATTCTGCAAAGATCGGTATGCAGCGATGGCCCCTGATGTTGCTTTGTGGCTTCGGGTCAGTTTGCGAGTGGCTCGATTCGGACTCTGCGCTGCCGTTCCCCCCCATACGCGTGGAGTTCGCACAGTCTCCGGCAACTGCCTCCTGAAGCATCTGCGGAGCGAGATTTTTTCCATCAGACTTGGAGCAACTGCGTTGATGGCGGTGGCCATGTTTAGTGATGTGCGATCTTTCAAGAGCTCGGATGACACCAAACCTCTGGAAAGATCGCACGGGACTTGGGCTTTCTTCGTAGCCGCCTTTTGCAACTGGTAGACCTGGACCCTGCTCGCCTCTTGTTTAGCTGCGGCTTTGGCAGAGGCTCGTTCGGAGCGTGGCGTTTGTGCCTTGCTTGGCAGGCCCTTCTTCGACCTGATCTTCCCAAAGTTGCACGTGGTGGCTGGTTTTGGTGTATGGCAGTGTATGGCCCCAGCGGTGGCTTTGCACACTGGCTACCGTCGTGCCTATCTCTGATATGGATACCATCCGGCGATTCATTTGGATCGGGCAGCAGATGCAGCCAGCCCTTTCGTGAAGGATCAGTGATCTCAACAGCAGCTGGCTGCTTTGGACCAGGGGAATGGATGGCCGCACTGTGGCAGTCGCTTGCTCTCTGGCAGGAGAGGCAGTGAGGATGCATGTCAGACGATGCAATGGTTTGGCGTGTTCATCCAGGCAGCAATTGCCATCCTTCTGTTTCGGGGCGGCATCCACAGCTAGTTTCGTGGCAGCTTCGGAAAGGAACGCGGTGAATGCACGTGGAGGACTTTCGCAGCAAGACGTCCTGGACTTTTTCGGGGAAAAGAGGGAAGAATAGAAGCACCTAGAAGCTGTATCATGTCCTGTTTCGTTTTTCCTTGCGGCCAACCGCGAATCAAATGTCTGGGCAGGTATCTTAGCTTGATGCTGAAGTGATGCTGAGCATCCACAAGGTTTCCGTAGAGCGACGACATGATTCTGTTTGTCCCCCAGTCCCAAAAAAAGCAAATCATGAGGGTTTGCTCGTATGGCTTCTACAAGATTCTACAAGCAGAGATAGAGGACAAGGGCCTCCAAGGTAGACGTGCTTCAGCACGAGTCCTGGCGGTCGTCGAAGAAGCATCGAAAGAGTCCGTGCAACAGCATCTGAAGAGTAAGTGTGCAGTCCTGCAACAACGATTTGTCCCTAAGCTCCGAGGATGTCGTGGTTGTCGGTGCCGGGGTCTCTGGCCTCACGGCGGCGCACAGGATGCCGGCTCTTTTGCTGTGATTGAGGGGTCGCACCTAGGATGCTCAACTCTTCTTTCCGTGCGCTGCTTAGAAGGCGTGCTGTTGCAGATGAGTTGAGAGCATGGAGATATATTGTCCGAGAAGATGACTTGCATTGAAGATGGCCGTCGCTCAAATGCCGTCGCTTCAGGGACCTGCAAGGATTCTCAGCGAGTTTACTCAGTGTGCTCTTCAGGTGTTGGGGTTCCTGCTTTTTCGTTGGGAGCTGGATGTTCGGTCTGGCAGCCAATTTGTCGGTGCCCGCTTCCTGCTCAGTCCCGAGAGCTGTCGGGCAGCAACACTGCCCAGAGCACACGGTGGTTCGTTAGTCTCCAGTCACAACCTGCAAGAGTTTCCCACACGCCAGCTAGTGCCAGTCCCGGCTTCTGTATCAGCTGTCGTCGCAAGCATGAGTTATGAATCGCCCTCGGGCTAGGCCCGTGAGCCATCTCGTGAGCCTTGATCCCAGCCATCGAATCATAAGATAAGCGGAGCGAGACTGCAGCCACATGGCGTTGCCGTCCCTTCGGAAACCGGCTTCTTGGCTGCACTTTAAGTGACGACCCCGACCACCCCCAGCCGTGGGGTCTGAGCGGTCTTTTGAAGCACGAGCCGTAGGGATTACACAGAAGAGAAGCCGCTGAAGTATGCTTGGGCCTGAGTATAAAGAACCACTGCAGGCCGCCGGCCTGCAGCCACATCGTATGGTCTCGTGTAGTCGTCTAGGCCCAGGATTGCCGAACTGCGAAACCACCCCGGTTCTATCAGCAGGAAATCATCGTTTCTTCATGCTTCTAGCCGCGCACACTTCCATGTGCCTATGCTGGCTACGGTAAACCTAAACAAAAGCCACACATAGCAAGAAGTGCTTGCTATGAGGTGAGCCTCACGAGGCCCAGGAAAGGCGCCCGGCCCGGGGGCGGGAAGTCGGCTGAAGACTGCAGCCTTCCTTGCGTTCACAGTTTTTCTGAATACAAACAAAGAGTCCCTTTCCGTGCCTGGCTTTTACAGGGAGCGCGGCTCGTGATGAATCCGTTCTGCTCCCTGTTGCCCACCATTTTGTAGTCTGCAGGCGCATGCAGGTGCTGCCCTGCTGTGCTCCTCCTGGATTAGCCTGCAGTGCCTGGAGTCTTACGTTCCTGTGCCCCTGGCCGCCTGCAGTCCCTACTGCGCTGAGAGAGTTTCGAGAAGGGGCACGTTAAACTCCTGAAACGCATGTTTTTATATGTAAGGGGGTCTTCCATAATGGAAAGAAGCGAGCTTCGTGTGCAGCAGCATGTTGGACAGGTCGGCATGGCGTCTTCGCCAAGGACGGTCAAGGCCTTCCCAGCCGCGATATAGACCATACCAGAGCTTCACTTCTGCGCGCTTCTTAGGGCTTGGGTCGGCTTCGGGACCTTTGGCGCGTGACGGGTGGAAGTGCAGGATGTTTCGCTTTGGCAGGGACCTGCTGGAGTAGCGAAAGCACACCGCTCAGGCGATGATGCGCTCGACGAGTTCAAGCCCAGCATCGTGTCTGAAGCTTCACAGTGGTCAGCCACGAGCTGGACGGCTGAAGCGAAGTGCTGTCGCAGCATGTAACGGTAACGGCTGGTAAAGCAGAATGCGACGAATGACCGCAGGATGTCGTTCTTCCCGCCCTCGCCGCGGAGCCAGGCACCTTTCGTGCCTCGGTTTGAGTCAACGAACCGATGCTGTCAGAGCACCGCCAGCAGGAGTGACAGAGCACCGAGCTGAAGAGCTAAAAACCGCTTGCTCTTCCTGTATTCGGTTGCTGTAGCAGGAAGCGTTTCATATCCGCTTCCGCTGTGTCACTTCGTCGGCCAGGGCCAGGCAGTCTCTCTTCTTGCATCATCGCTCTCTTGCGTCAGAAGCATTGTCACTTGCCCATATCCTACTTTTGAACACGCTTGGATCTCACTGAGGATCCTGAGGCCGTGGCTGAGCTAGAGCTGGCGCCAAAAGGCTGGGCCAGGCGGGCGACTTGAAAGTCAGTTGTTTTCTCGAGTTCTTCGGCTTGGTCTTCTTCGACGCCACCACATACCACTCCCACCGGTAACGACGACGACAACTACTTATACCGAGCAGGACCATGACCACCACCACCGCCGCCGCCGCCGCCCCCCCCCACCACCACCACCACCACCACCACCACCACCACCACCACCACCACGACTATTGCTGCTGCTGCTGCTGCTGCTCCTGCTCCAGCTACTGCTGCTGCTGCTGCCGCTGTTGTATTGTATTGCGACCACCACAACCATCGAAAAAGTTGCTAAGAGCTGCTAAGAGAACACTAGCCATCACACTGGTCGCCCGTTCCACTGCCATGCTAGCGTAGTTGTGGTTAATGTCACAGGGGGCATTCGTGGCCTTTGGCTTGGGCTAATATCTGTTAATCCTGGGTTTCGGCAAGTGTGGCCTTAAACCCTCTGCTAAGAACCCTGAACCCCCAAACTGTGAACCCGTGCGTGGGAGGACCATCCGGCCGATTGACCATCGGACGAAGGATGTGCGTGGCGCTCAGACCTCTGGTTGAGATCCGTCGAAGTAGTTCTCTGCAGCGTGCTACTTCGTTTTCTGCCGGCGCACCCTACTGTGGAAATCCATGGCATACTGTAGCAGTTAGGTTTGGGGCGCATGGCATGGGGAATTGCATGGGGTCTCCTTCGGTCAACCAGCCCGAGACTCACAAGCCAGGAACCGGCTACGGGTGGACGAGGGGCAGCTTGTGGAAGCACTGCCCTGAGCCTCCCATGGGGTCGCAGGACGTCGGCATGTGAATATAATACGAAATAGAATATAGCATAGGCTACAATAAAATCTCATCTAACCTAACCTAATACAAGCGAAGCCCACATATTATAACATGATAGTACTGTTTATAGTATCGAACAGAACATATAGGAAAGAATAGAATACAACATAATCTGAGTTTAATTCCAACCTGCGGAGCTTGCTGGGCTTTGTGCTATAGTAGTTCTCTGTCACACCTGGAGGCCAAACGTGCTTTGCGCGGTCTTCTTCCTGGCGAACCCTGGTGCCAATTCGTAGCCTTGTTGTTCAGGCTTGTTTTAGCCCGAAGCACTGTCGTTTGGCTTGACTATGGATGCAAGGGGAGGTGTAGAGAGAGGCCCTTCCTTCGCAATATCGATGTGCCCAGGCATCATATGTGTGTATTGTTCGAAAGGAATAGCCCTTTGTCCACGAGCCCCTAGATCTTGACGGTAGATAGTGAACCGCTAGAACCTTGCGAAGTGTATGAGCCGAACTAGACCGTGCACATGCCTCGGCAGGAAAGTGTGATGGTGAGCGACGAAACAGACCCCAAACACGATAAAACCTGTAAGCCCCATACCTAACAAACCCTAATGATTTGGGATTGCTGTGTGCGCGATGTGCCGAGCCAATAGTTGCCGACCCCTCGGGCCACATAGGCTTGCCTTCGAACCTGGACAGGCCTCCCCTGCATCGAGTCGCGAGAGTCCAATCGCCCTGAAACAACCCTAGCCTCCCAAAGCAGCGCCTTGCTTGTCAGTCTTGGTGCGTAAGACCGGTTGCATCGAGCATCACAGGCTAGGCAACAGTCCACTATTACGACCGCCGTCACTGCCACTGTGTCACTGCCACCACCACTACCCACGAGATTGCCCATCGCAATCGCACAACACTAGGTGGCACTTTGGGAAACTTTTAAATTTCCCTATATGGCGCCTATAGAGGTACCTGCTCATAAATACTTTTTTGGCCCCTAAACTACCACCCAAAACAGGTGCAGCAATTGCGGGAGGTATAGTGGTGGTTAACATCGTAAGAGTTTGGTTCGTGATGAAAATCACACAGTAATTATCCATCGAAGATTGAGGACTGGCACGCAGAAGCGTTTGCGCATCACAAGAAGAAGCTCAGCGAAGAGGCATGCAGCTTCGACTCCTTGCGGAGTGTTTTTTGCTACGTCCCGATGCTGTGTTCCTATACGGGTTACTACAACTATCACTATAATCCTCTACGGGCTGCTACAAGGGTTTGAGGGCTAGATCAGATCCGTTGACGTCCCGAAACCATAGATCCATTCCTGGCTTGTCCACTTCTCCGCATTTTTCCCCAGAGACCTTAAGTTGAGCTGCTCAATCACCGAATGGAGAGTGATTCAATTTCTGGTATCTGCTTTTAGTTTCAGGCTCAAGACAGCCCCGAACCCTAAGCCCTTCGCACCGAACCAACCTTGCCTGCGTTGTCCGACAAACACGACAGTCCAAGGCCTTGTGCGAGTGTGAGAGCAGAAACCTAAACTCTACACCCCCACAGGTGCCGAAGTCTCTGAACCCCAAGCCCTGGGTCCGCCAGGGGCGCTGGCTGGCCATCCCGGGCCTCAACGAGTTAGTGTTGAAGAGCTCGCAGGCCTGCTTTTATCAGGCTACGGCACGGCGTGAAGGTCTTAAATACAATTAAATAAATGTATCATGTAAACTACTCCCTTCGGAGATTACTTGATGGGGAGATGGTCGAATACTGCTTCATTTGTCGCTTGGGTCATCATGTGGCTCATCATGTAACATTTCATCTTCAGCGGCTCGTCGTTCAATAGTACTCTTCGTTTTTCGGATGATCCGGTCAATCACTTTTCCGGCGGCGGAGCGGAGCCAGGGGATGCACCTAAGGAAATCCCGGAAACCGCTGGAGTGTTCCCAAAAGTGATGAGAGCCCACTTGGGCGCCGCAATCATCCTTTGATACTGTACGGTCTTGATCCATTTTCTTGGGTTTTCCTGTTCTATTGCCACAGGGTGGAAGAGGCAGGTTAGGAATTGCAGGGTTTCTAAGAAAGGCGCAATGCCGAAAGGCTGAGGTTTTTCAGATTTCAAGGTACCGCAAGGTAGAACCCAGCTGTACCAGTAGCAGTAAGACTAAAAGTCAATCAGAAAAGAAACTAACCTGTTATTCCAAGAGCCAAGCATATATAGAGGCCTCAGTGGCTGGACTAGATGCCTGGATAGTTCTCCCATAAGAGGCATAGAGTTGGACCACTTCAGAATTCAGTAGCATGGCCTCTACAACCCAAGAGCCCCGTCTTCCCAGGAGGCGCTGGATGCAGGTTTCTACAGCCTGCCCTCAAACAAGAACACGAAGGCCAGTTTGCGCACGGGTTTAGGGTCATGTGGTTGCTAGAGGTGTTAGAAAAGGTTGATCATGCCCTTTCGTGATAAATATGCACGCCCGAGTATACCGTGCCCAGGGTTGGGCAGTGTCTCCCCAAGTTAGGAGGTTTACAGAAGCCCTCATAGGATGTCTTTTCCTAATAATTTAGCCTGTTGAATACAGGGGAACCCAAGACAACTGTCAGCAACACCGCATTTTCAAGACCCTTCCCTCAATATTCATCTCGCCTTTAATACAGGTGCAGCACGCACAATCAGATTTGTCGACATCAAAATAACCTGATGGTGGCTATCGCAAACTCTATAAAATCTGCAGGTTCGGCTCTCCCAGAAGCCAAGTGTCCATTGGGTGAACTTGGCCGCTGGGCTTTTCCGGGATAGAGCTTGCAATTTCAGGCCAAGCAGCCGAGCTTGTGAGGGCTTATTATGCTGGGTGATCATACTCGCCACAAACATTATTTTGCATTATCTTCGTAGGAGGAGCCCCGACAGAAATATGCATAGGGCTTCGGTCAATCCTTTCTAGACGACAGGGAGGAATGACAGATGTGCACCACCTGGCTGCTACGTTCTCGTTTTGCATTGCCACAGATTCCATGACCCGGGCACCACCACCCAAGCACCACGAATCTGAGGAAAATGCAGTCGAGCCCGAGCCCTGCCAGGGGGTCGCACCCCCACCGTCGCTTGGCTCTTTGCGGACATGGAGCATCGAAGTAACTCACCGCACAGCCATGCTCTGATGCCGTAGGCACCGGCAAGGTGACCGAGTGTGTCAGAAATGGATGTGAAAGGCTTTTTTGTTCATTATCTAATCTACCTCTTTCTCATATGATATCGACGTCTTGAAATGATGCCGCTGCAGAGGTATGTAGCCTTTATGTAGCAATCCGCATGTTACACAGGTTTATGTCACACGATTGGCGGCAGGTACAGCCGGGGTTTCAGCACATCGCCTAAGAATAGTGTTTTCCGAAATGCCCGGCCCGCGGTTGCTAGGTCATAGCTGCAGGGTTGCTGATGAGTAGTGAGACGAATGTCTCGATCAGTAGCATCACGACGACCTTGATCAGTATGACGACCTACTAGCTCTTCGTTTCGCCTTCGACGCTTCCTGCTGACAAGGCTGGTCATCTCTCAAAAGACGCCTCTGGAAGCGGCAGGCTAGGCTTCTGTCAGTCTTCAGGATCAGGTCGCCGACTTTATGTCGAACCTGACTTCGAACTGGTTCTCTGTCGTCATGCGCGCCCGGAATAGGACTCACCTCCTCAACTCGAGAGGGGCTCATCTTTCCATAATTTAAAGTTGAGTTCCCGGACGCATCGTGGAGGTGGCAGCGCCCAGAAATGAAGGAAAAGTATGGAGCGTTTGCGGCTTGAGGGCTTGGATTGTTTGCTTGTTTTATGACTGACTGAAGGGTCTGAATGGACTGGACGCACCGCGCTCGACCGTCTCGGCAAACTCCTACCCAACTGCTGAGAAGCATTTTTTGGGAGTGTTGGATTCTCCTCTATGGCATGCTGTTCCTCGAACTGTTGCTGCTGCGAGTGTGGTAGCATGTTGTTTGAACGCCGTCTCCTATCCGGCTCTGATGAGTCTTCCCGCTGTCGACCTTGCATAGCACACTTGCCTCGACAATTGCCAGTGCTACAACAAGAGCCGCTATCAGTCTAAAAGGTGTCATCTGCAGCTGACATTGCCCGGTGATGATACAGCACCTGCACACACGCTGGTTTCTGTGGAGAATTGCTTCTTGAATGGATTGCTGGGCTATCTTGTGGTCACGCATGAGTGCCTCTTGTGCGACTGCTACTGGGTCTCTGCTGCTACTCCCTTCTCCTCCCGCGACTCCGCCTTCGTCCTCCTTCCTCCGGTAGTGCGATCGCTGTTTCTTACTGCCAGGTGATGCCATGAGCATGAGAGCTACGATGATCGTCGCTGTTTTTAGTGTCCTCGTTGTTGTCGCTTCTTGTTCTTATTGTTGTTCTTCTTCTTCTCAGTCTTGTTGTTGCTGTTGTTGCTGTTGATGTTTCATGGCTAACCGTGTTGATTTGGTGCTGCTTTTCTTGCTGATCCATCAGTGCCAGGTGCCCTGGGCAAAATTTTCAAGGGCCATCCCGTGATTGTCACGATGGAGGCAGTTCTCTTGCACCTAGTTTAATGTCGGGGTTGACGTGCGGGGAGCTTACATAGTACCAAAGGCCTAAGCTTATGGCATTCACCATCTCAGTTCCCTTTCAGTATCACAGCCGGTTTGAATTCTGACATGTTGGACCTGCTGTGGCAACGGCCCGCGTGGCAGAAGGAATCCGGGTTGTCGACCGGCCAGTGCGGAGACCTCGCCCCTTTTTGTTTC